GATCCCACACATCTGCGGGCAAAATCTGGCGGAAGTGATCCGCCACCGAGCAAAAAGCCTGTAAATACCGCATTAAACAAAGGGCCAGGGATTTCACATATCTGGTGGCAAAATCTGGCGGAAGTGAGCAATCGGTACTTCTGTCAGATTTTGCCAACAGATATGTGAAATCCCTGGCCCTTTGTTTAATGCGGTATTTACAGGCTTTTTGCTTGGTGGCGGATCACTTCCGCCAGATTTTGCCCGCAGATGTGTGGGATCCCTGGCCGTTTTTTGAACGCGGATGGGAAGAGACAGCAGGCTCCAAACCGCCGTGTCTCACCCACCGCTTCAAGGGCTAGGGATCCCACACATCTGCAGGCAAAATCTGGCGGAAGCGATCCGCCACCGAGCAAAAAGCCTGTAAATACCGCATTAAACAAAGGGCCAGGGATTTCACATATCTGGTGGCAAAATCTGGCGGAAGTGAGCAATCGGTACTTCTGTCAGATTTTGCCAACAGATATGTGAAATCCCTGGCCCTTTGTTTAATGCGGTATTTACAGGCTTTTTGCTTGGTGGCGGATCACTTCCGCCAGATTTTGCCCGCAGATGTGTGGGATCCCTGGCCGTTTTTTGAACGCGGCATTTACAGGCTTTCTGCTCGGTCGCGGCTCGCAGGGATTATACACCCTTGCCCCCACTCCACCCTCCCGCCCCCTTCATACCTCACTACCCACCCCCCTATCTCAGCCCCTTGCCTTGTACCCCATCACCACCCACCACCCACCACCTATTATCCACCACCCGGCACCCCTCACCCGCCACGCCCACCACCCACACCCTCCCCACCAACCACCACACACCACCCACCACACACCACCCACCACACCACCCATCACCCACCACCCACCACCCACCACTACCCAGCACCCGCCAGCCACCACTACCCACTACCCACCACCCACCACCTACTCCTCCCCATCCCACCCCCAGCCCGCCCCAAGGCCCGCCAGCCGGCTACGTTCGCCCCCCCAGCCTCAGCCCCAGCCCCTAGGCCCCCTTGGGGGGGCTGGGGGCTGGGGCTAGGACTGGGTGGGGCCGGGGCCTTGGGGCTGGGCCTGAGGCTGGGGCTGGGGTTGGGGGCAGGCAGGCCTGGCAGGGTGGCTGTGGGGCTGGGGCTGGGGCTGGGGTCGGAGGCTGGGGGCTGGGGCTGGGGTCGGAGGCTGGGGGGCTGGGGCTGGGGCTGGAGCTGAAGATTTAAATTTTTAAAATTCTTTAAATTCTTTAAATTTTGAAATCCGGACGATTTCAGAATTTAAAGAATTTAAAGGATTTACCTCCTTTAAATTTTTAAATTCTTTAAATTTTTAATTCCGGACGATTTCAGAATTTAAAGGATTTACCTCCTTTAAATTTTTTAAATTCTTTAAATTTTTAATTCCGGACGATTTCAGAATTTAAAGAATTTAAAGGATTTACTTCCTTTAAATTTTTTAAATTCTTTAAATTTTTAATTCCGGACGATTTCAGAATTTAAAGGATTTACTCCATTTAATTTTTTTAAATTCTTTAAATTTTTAATTCCGGACGATTTCAGAATTTAAAGAATTTTTAATTCCGGACGATTTCAGAATTTAAAGAATTTAAGGAATTTAAAAAATTAATCCCGTGGGCTGGGGTCGAAGGCTGGGGGGCTGGAGCTGGAGCTGGACATTTAAATTTTAAATTCTTTAAATTTTTAATTCCGGACGATTTCAGATTAAAGAATTTAAAGAATTTAAACGTCGGGGCTGGGGTCGAAGGCTGGGGGGTGGGGTGGAGCTGGAGATGGACAGTTAAATTTTTAAATTCTTTAAATTCTTTTTAAATTTTTAATTCCGGACGATTCAGAATTAAAGAATTTAAAGGATTTACCTGCTTAAATTTTTAAATTCTTTAAATTTTTTATTCCGGCCGATTTCAGAATTTAAAGGATTTACCTCCTTTAAATTTTTTAAATTCTTTAAATTTTTAATTCCGGACAATTTCAGAATTTAAAGAATTTAAAGAATTTTAAAAATTTAATTCCGTGGGCTGGTGTCAAAGGCTGGGGGGCTGGGGCTGGAGCTGGAGCTGGACATTTAAATTTTTAAAATTCTTTAAATTCTTTAAATTCTTTAAATTTTTAATTCCGGACGATTTCAGAATTTAAAGGATTTACTCCATTTATTTTTTTTAAATTCTTTAAATTTTTAATTCCGGACGATTTCAGAATTTAAAGAATTTAAAGGATTTACCTCCTTTAAATTTTTTAAATTCTTTAAATTTTTAATTCCGGACGATTTCAGAATTTAAAGAATTTAAGGAATTTAAAAAATTTAATCCCGTGGGCTGGGGTCGAAGGCTGGGGGGCTGGAGCTGGAGCTGGACATTTAAATTTTTAAAATTCTTTAAATTCTTTAAATTCTTTAAATTTTAATTCCGGACGATTTCAGAATTTAAAGAATTTAAAGGATTTACCTCCTTTAAATTTTTTAAATTCTTTAAATTTTTAATTCCGGACGATTTCAGAATTTAAAGAATTTAAAGAATTTTAAAAATTTAATTTCGTGGGCTGGGGTCGAAGGCTGGGGGGCTGGGGCTGGAGCTGGAGCTGGACATTTAAATTTTTAAAATTCTTTAAATTCTGTAAATTTATAATTCCGGACGATTTCAGAATTTAAAGAATTTAAAGGATTTACCTCCTTTAAATTTTTTAAATTCTTTAAATTTTTAATTCCGGACGATTTCAGAATTTAAAGGATTTCCCTCCTTTAAATTTTTTAAATTCTTTAAATTTTTAATTCCGGACGATTTCAGAATTTAAAGGATTTACTCCCTTTAAATTTTTTAAATTCTTTAAATTTTTAATTGCGTATATACACAGTATATATTAAGACACAGAGCAAGCCCTACGCCAAATAGGACCTAAAGGTCCTACGTACAAAACCCTATAGATCCCTTAAAGGAGCCCGGATTTGTATCATCCACCGTAGTTCGGAGAACTACCCAAACGTCGAATCCGGAGCTTTGACGTCGCGTTGAAGGGTTTTAAGGACCTGGGTTGGTGGAATGTGCGGTTTATGGTTTAGGGACCTGGGTTGGTGGAATGTCCTAATGTAGGAACCTGATCAAGAAACCTTGGGGCCTTTATTAGGGTTCCTTATATGAATCCTACTATGTTGGGGTTATAGGCCCAGGGTTTCTTAATCAGGTTCCTACAGTGGCTTCCAGTAAGAACCGTTTGCAGTGCTCAAGGTAAGTTGATTGCCTGCCTTGGATCTCCGGTGTAGCACATCGCCAGCAGTTGTGCATGCTTCGAGACAGGGTTCTCGCATACATGATATCAGTAGGCCAAGGTCATGAAACTCAGGATTTTAGAGAATTCCTGCTTCTCCGCCAAATTCACTTTGGTCTCGCTAATAACTTCTCGTATCAGAAGCTGTGCCAGATGTCTCGTCCTTGCAGATACACTGGCGCGGCTGCCCCTGGGCTCCAGATCTTCGCGGTGCGTCATGCATCCGAAAGTCTGATACCAAGCTTAGTAGCAAAAGGGCACCAGTTGCCAAAGCCACAGCGGCCTCAAGTAGAGCCCCAAAGCCTTCACCAAAAAGCGAAGCCCAACGTTTCGAGCCGCCCTTCTTGCCGAGTATGGTTTTGAGGCCTGGCAGGGTCCTCTGCTCATGTCGGCTTCGAGTTCCCGGGCTTCGGGATGTTGTGAAGGTCCGAGAATCACGTGGCATGCGGGGAGCTACGCTTTTGCGGTATCAGGGTTGGGGTTCAGGGTTATAAGGGTGATCCCCGGCTGAGCTAGCCTGGTGGGCTAAATGTGAGTGTACATACTTGCAGTCGAATGGATTGAACAGAAGGAACAGACGGTTTCGGATTCTAATCGTCGGGGCCGGCTGTGTTCAAGGGTGCGGAGGTACTCAAAGTCAGGCCCAGGAGGCCTACACCACAATACCGCAGGGGCCCTCAAGTTGAAAAGCGGAGCGTCTGAGGAAGGAAGACCGGTTTCTAGAGGTCGGTGGGAACGTGGGGAAGTTTGTCAGGTTGAGGTTTACTGAGAGCTTGTGGGAATCACATCAAAGCCTACAGCGAGCATCCGGGACTGCTTGGAATTCTTCGACACTCTGGATTTGGGAGCTTCACAAACAGGGGCGCCCCGGAGATTCTTTTGAAGCTTCCCGAAGATCCCGCTCGAAAGAGAGTCAGACGGTCCTCACATGTCTGCGGCTTTCCATCCGCTGTGGGGCTAGGCTTCGGGCTGTTGAAGGAAGGTTCTCGTCCGTGCTTTTGTGACCTCAACAGAACCTTAAAGCATCTTAAAGCACTGAACCTATGCACCTCTAAACTGGGGATAGGGATAGTCATGGTCTGGAGCGGAAATTCAGCCGTTCATCAGCCTAGGTAATCTAGCGGCTCACCTCTGAATCTCTCCAGCGGTTAACTGCCGACTCGTTGTGAGAGTGGAATTCGGGCAGTGTTTACGTTAGAGGTCCCTTTTTATAACACCATGGATCAATTCCCACATTCCCTGCTGAGAGTAGGAGTATTCGAGACAAGAATGCGGGCCCAGCAAGATCGAGACGACTAAAATTGGGAGGAGAGAGGGCTTTCCACAGGCGGGACGTAGAAGCTCTTGTGAAGGTGATGTCGAGTGGGAGCTTCGGGGAAATCGTAGGACTTTCGCGGGATTGTCAGATCAGGCAGTAGTAGAGTAGTAGTTACTGTTATTATTATTATTATTATTATTATTGTTATTGTTATTATTAGCAGTAGTACCTCAGGGAGTGTGGAGCTGCCCAATCAGCTGATTTGCATCTTCAAGCTCGGATGCATGACGATCACGGGCTGTGCAGACGGTTGGTTCAAGCTCAAGACATACGTCAAGCTTTCTTTCTTGGCATCTTATCTATCTGGTTAGGAGGGGCGTGGTGCTTCCCGACATAGTCTACCCACCTCAAGCTACAACTCTTCCTCTCTCGAGATGATGTGCGATGGAGGGCATGGAGGTGTTTGGGAGCCGCCCTCTCGCTCCTGTGCTGTTTGCGCTGGCGGCATGCCAGCCACAGTGGAGAAAGGGCCGATCGAAGGCAGTGCGCCTGGGTGCTTGCTGGCTCGTTGTCTGTTTCGTGCTGGGCCTGGCGGCTTGCGGGCCGCCCTGGTGGAGGAAGGGCCGGCCGCGGAAGCTGCACCGCAGCTATTCCGAAGTCGAGCTGTTGTCCCATCTGGCGGAGCTGCTGATGCCGCGGCAACCCATCAGCAGGCTCTTTCGAGACTTTCCTGTAGGGCCGCACTGGCTGAGCCCGGGCATAGCTGCCTTTGGCGTGCTGGAGGCGGAGGCTGCCGCTCTGTTCGTCGAGTACCAAGGAACCGACAGGCACCCGGATGTGCAGCCTGGCAGTTGGGACGAGCTCAAAGCGCAAGCTCTGCTTCAATATGCGCCCAAGGGCTCGTGCCTGCTGCGAATAGGCCACAAAGAGCGTGACTTGACCAAGACCGACAGTTCGGTGGATGCGATCGTGAATGTGTGGCGCGAAGGGCATGAGCGGTCACTGATGAATGTTGTGAGCCAAACCGTCTGGGCCATGCTGAGTAGCCGCGAAATCGTGCTTCGAGAGGATGTTCGCCGGCGTCTAGATGCCTTTGAGATCTTTGAGGTCACCGAGCCGAAGCCAAGATTTAAAAAGGCACGCAAGTTTGCCCGCAAGGCAATGCTCATCAACGACGTCCAGACAGAAAAGGCTGCTGTGCTTGGCTTTTTGGACGGGGATCTGGGTCTTTCAAAGTCCCAGATCAAGGCTTTAGCGAGCAAGTTTCCGCGAATCTGGGGCATCAGCGTAGACGGTAAGTTGAAGCCGCTGGTGGGGTGGCTTGGGGAACTCGGTCTGACCCGAAAGCAGATGGCTAAAGCCATTTGCTTGTCTCCTGCACTCTTGTACAGCAGCATTGAGGAGAAACTAGAGCCCACAGTGGCTTGGCTTGAAGATGTTGGGCTGTGCACAAAGCAAGTGGTGAAGGTCGTTGTTGGCTGCCCTTCAGTCTTTGGCCTAAGCATCGACGACAATCTGAGCCCCAAAGTGGCCTGGCTTAGACAATTTGGATTCTGCCGACAGCAAGTGGCCAAAGTTGTTGCTGGCTATCCTCAACTGTTGGGCCTCAGCGTCGAAGGCAATCTGAAACCCACGGTGGCCTGGCTCGAGGATGTTGGGCTGAGCCGTAGGCAAGTGGACAAAGTTGTTACAGGTTTTCCTCAACTGTTGGGCCTCAGCATCGAGGCCAATCTTAAGCCTACCCTGGCCTGGCTTGAGGATGTTGGGCTGAGCCGCAAGCAGGTGGCTAAAGTCGTTGCAGTTTCTCCGCAAGTATTGAGCTACAGCATTGAGGGCAATCTCAAGCCGACGGTTTCATGGCTTGGGGATGTCGGCCTCAGCCGAAAGCAGGTGGCCCAGGCTATCTTTGCTGCTCCCACAACTTTGGGCTACAGCATTGAAACCAACATGAAGCCCACCGTGGCGTGGCTTGAACATCTTGGACTGACCCGGCAGCAAGTAACCAACGCGGTCGCTACCTTCCCTTCAGCATTGGGCTACAGCATCGAGGCCAATCTGAAACCCACGGTGGCCTGGCTTGAGGATGTTGGACTCTGTGGAAGCCAGGTGGCCAAAGTAGTGTCTGGACACCCTCCGGTGCTGGGCTACAGCATCGACGCCAATCTGAAGCCCAGAATCGCTTGGCTCGAAGATGTTGGGCTCAATCGGCAGCAATTGGCCAAAGTCGTCACTGGCCTTCCCTCTGTATTCAGCTACGGTCTCGATTCGAATCTGAGGCCCACTGTTGCCTGGCTCGAGGATCTTGGGCTGAGCCGCAAGCTGGTGGCGAAAGTCGTTGCTGGGTTTCCTGCAGTCTTGGGCTTAAGCATCGAGCGCAATTTGAAGCCCACCGTGGCCTGGCTTGAGGATGTTGGGCTGAGCCGAGCGCAGGTAGCCAAAGTCATCGGAGGTTTTCCTACGGTCTTGGGTTACAGTGTCGAGGCGAATCTGAAACCCACCGTGGCCTGGCTTCAGAGTGTTGGTCTGAGCCGGCAGCAGGTGACCAGAGTCTTGGCCCAGTTTCCACAGGTTCTAGGCTTGAGCCTCGAGGCCAACCTGAAGCCCACGGTGGATTGGCTTGAAGACATGGGGCTTAGCCGAAAGCAGGTGGCGAAAGCCATCTCTGTCTCTCCATCAATCCTTGGCTGCAGCATCGAGGGCAAGCTGAAGCCCACAACAGACTGGCTTGAAGACATTGGGCTTAGCCGAGAGCAGATAGGCAGAGTACTTGCGGCAAAACCTCATACATTGGGCTACAGCATCGATGGCAATCTGAAAGTCAAAGTGGCCTGGCTTAGGGCTGGGGGGCTGAACGGCAGGCAGGTGGCCAAAGTCGTTGCGTGCTTTCCAGCATTTTTTGGCTACAGCATCGAGAGTAATCTGTCACCGAAATGCAGTCTCCTGCGAAAGCTTTTTTCCCGAAGAGACGTCGCATCCATCATTGAGCGTCAGCCGCAAATTCTCGGCTACAGCTACGCTCGCCTGTCTCATCGTCTGAAGGTCCTACAGGAGCAGGATTGCTTATCCAAGCTTGCCAGCATCATATCCTTGACTGATTCGAAATTTGACCAGCGGTTTCCGCCATCGAAAACGCACGGCCGGGTCACCGGCGTTGCACTCGGTCAAACAGTCATATGGGGCTCCTTTGCTCCCACATGCGACCTCAAAACTTCCCCAGAGGTATCGAAGCGAACCTGTAAGCCCCAATGCTCCACCAGAATGAGAAGGTCTCGCTGCCCACGATGTAGAAGAGAACTCTAACTGCGAACCCATCACTTGTCTGGGGCTTCTGGTCATTCTGGCCCTTTTGACGGCTTCCTGCAGAGCAGCATCGTGAACAACGTACCCAACTCCCCTGGAAAGATCTCAAACGCAGATCCCTTGAGGCGGTCTCTATAAAGTACCCTTCAGCTATTACGCAAAATCCCAAATATGGGAATGCTTTTTTCCAGATCCTTCCATGGGTGCTTACTTTCTTCTGCTCGCCAGGCTCCAGCTCCGGCGCCGCCGTCTCTGCGATGCGATGAGCGGCGGGGAAAGCTCCGAGGCTGCCTCTCTGGCTGCTCAGATTTCGGGGGGTTTAGGCTTTGGGGTTTAGGGATTAGGGTTTGGGGACTAGGGTTTGGGGTCTAGGGTTTTGGGGTTTAGAGGCCTTAATCATTAGAATAGGGTTTTGAGGCGCATTTCATTAGAAAATATAATAAGGAACCCCAGACTAGTATTGGTCATTGTTTGGGCTCCTCTAAACCCGACACTTCTTGAAACTCCGGCATCAAACCCAAAATCCTGCCCTAAACCAAGGGCAATGCCTGCTTGGCTGTGGTTTAGGGTTTGGGGTTTAGTGAGTGTTTGGGGTCTAGGGAGCCGCGAGGTGTAGAACAAAACAGGGAAGTGTGGACATCGGATCGGCCTGCTCTATAGTCTCCTTAGGAATTATTTTTTTAAAGCAAAAACCAAAGAAAACATTGAGCCTGTTATTCTTACTATGGTTCTAAGGGGGGGTTTAGTGCCGTTGGGAGGATTTAGCTGGCCTGGGTTTATCGGCTCCTTGCTGGGAACACGAGCTTGGTCTTGCATCTGTTGCTCAGCACATCGCCAGTAGTGGAAGAGTCCAGGTGAAGCAAGGTTTTAGGTTTTTGCAATTCATAGCACCTAAACTCTACTTGTACGTCGTAAGTTCTACCTGCAAACGTGCGACCCAAGCGATTGCCAATCCATGGCACGCGTCTCATCCGGCTTGAGTGTGCGGGATCCCAAACCGTAAGTCCCACTTGCCTTATTCCCCTCACCCCGGACCAACGCGTAGGGACCCTGCACCCCGTAGCTGCAAGTGTTGGGAGATGTTATCAGTTTGGCGCGTTGGGGAAGAGGCAGTTGAAGATCAAGGCAGGGCAGTCAGTTTTCTATACTGCAATGTGCTTACTTCGCCTACATGTCACGCTTCTCCCGCCGCTTCTTGGCTTCGCAGCTTTGCAGGGCCTAGGACAGGATGGAACGGGCGGAGAGGAGGCGTAGGAGTTCATGGTGGCGGCTTGGAGCCATCTACTGCATCCTGGGATCTCTTACGCTTGGCCCCTCGGCTTGCGGGCCGCCCTGGTGGAGGAGGGGCCGTCCGAGGAAAAGGCACCGCAGCTATGCGGAGGTGGAGCTGCTGTCCAGGCTGGCGGAGCTGCTGATGCCGCAGCAGCCAATCGGCAACCTTTTTCGGGACTTCCCGGCAAGGCCCTCGCAGGAGCCGCAAATGCTCAGCCCGGGCATCGCGACGTTCGGCGTGCTGGAGCAGGAGGGCGCAGCCCTCTTCGTCGAGTACGATGGAAGCGATGGGCATAGGGATGCAGAGGATGGCAAGGAGGCCGAGCTTAAGACGAACGCTCTGCTCCGATACTCGCCCAAGGGCTCGCAGGTGCTGCGAATATCCCATGCGGCGCGAGTGGACTCCGGAAGGGCTGCACAGTGCGTGGATGCCATCGTCAATGTGTGGCGGGAAGGGCATGAGCCGTCGCTGACAAAAGCTGTGAGCCAGACCGTCTGGGCCATGCTGACTAGCCGCGAAATCGTGCTTCGAGAGGATGTTCGCCGGCGTCTGGATGCCTTTGGGGTCTCCGAACCGAAACCAAGATTCAATAAGGCGAGCGAGTTTGCAAGCAAGGCAGTGGTCAGAGACGTCGAGGGGCAGAAGGCCAACGTGCTTGCTTTTTTGGAAGAGGATTTGGATCTCTCCCGCCCCCAAATCGAGGCATTGGCCAGGAAGTGTCCAACAACCTTCTGGGGCATTAATGTCGATGGCAAGTTGAAGCCGATGGTGGCGTGGTTTGGGGAACTCGGTCTGAGCCGAAAGCAGGTGGCCAAAGTCGTTGCTGGATTTCCTCGGGTGCTACGCTGCACCATAGAGGGCAATCTAAAGCCCACAGTGGCCTGGCTCGAGGATGTAGGGCTGAGCCGACAGCAAGTGGCGAAAGTTGTTTGTGGTTTCCCTGCAATCCTCGGGTACAGCCTCCAGGCCAAGCTCAAGCCTATAGTGGACTGGCTCGAGGACATTGGGCTGAGCCGCAAGCAGGTGGCTAAAATCATTGCAGTTCACCCTCAAGTGCTGGGCTGCAGCATCGAGGGCAATCTGAAGTCCACGTTGACCTGGCTTGAGGACATCGGCCTGAGCCAAAAGCAGGTGCTCAAAGTCGTTGCTGAGCATCCTGCAGTTTTGTGGTACAACGTCGAGACTAAGCTGAAGCCCACTGCAGCCTGGCTCGAGGAGCTTGGGCTAAGCCAAGAGCAGGTGGGCAAAGTCGTCGCCGGCTTTCCTTACGTGTTCGCCTACAGCCTCGAGGTGAATCTGAAGCCCACGGTGGCCTGGCTCGAGGACCTTGGGCTGACCCGAAAGCGCGTGGCTCGAGTCGTCGGTCTCTTTCCTTCACTTTTGGGCTTCAGTATTGACGGCAATCTGAAGTCGACAGTGTCCTGGCTTGAGGATGTTGGGCTCACCCGAAAGCAGCTGGCCAATGCCATCTACACTTGTCCTGCAATCTTGGGCTGCAGCATCGAGGGCAATCTGAAGCCCACTGTGGAATGGCTTGAGGCTGCTGGACTATGCAGGAAGCAGGTGTGCAAAGCCATTTCTGGTTTTCCTGGTTTGTTGGGCTTAAGTATCACGAGCAACTTGAAGCCGAAAGTGGCCTGGCTCGAGAAGCTCGGGCTTAGCCGGTCGCAACTGGCCAAAGTCATTGCTGCCTATCCAAGGGTGCTCGGCTTGAGCAGCGAGGCTAAGCTGAAACCCACAGTGGCTTGGTTTCGGGAAGCTGGGCTGAGTCGGGAGGAGGTGGCCAAGGTCATTGCTCGCTTGCCTCAAGTGTTCGGATACAGCATTGATGCCAAGCTGAAGCTCACTGTAACGTGGCTGGAGAAGGTCGGGCTGACCCGGTCGGAGGTGGCAGGAGTCATTGCAACTTTCCCACAAGTGCTCAGCCTCAGCATCGAGAACAATCTCTCTCCGAAGCATCTCTTCTTATTGGAACACTTCTCCCGTGACGAAGTCCGAGATATGATCCTGTATCTTCCTGCGCTACTGGGCTATGGCTTCTCTCGGCTCCGCCATCGCCTACACGTGCTGCAGAAGCACGAGGCTGTGTCAAGGCTGGCTTCCGCCATGAGCTTGACGGATGCTCGCTTTGCGGAGCAGTTTCCGTCTTGAGCCAGGTGCAGCCATCCTCACCAGCAACTTTGCGAGCAAGGACGCCGGCAGTCTTACGACCAGAGCCGTGGCCTTGGCGCGGGAGAAACCATGTCGGAGACTTCTGCTGTCCGACTGTGCCAGCAAGATGCAGTCCAGGGTTGTTTGGCTCGAAGGACTTGGACACGGCCGGCCGAAGCCGTTGCTGGCTTTTGCCATTCTTCAGATTGCAGCAGGTATGCCAACGCGAAGCCCAAGATGGCCTTGCTTGAGGAAGCAGGTCTGCAGAAGGAGCAACTTGGCGTGACGACGAACTCAGTGACGGAGGTGTTTTCAAGCCACTTCTCCAGTGTCGCTGCGTCGCCCTTGCCTGATCCTGCTGGAGTTGTGATTGCTTGTCGAGCGAAGTTTGACGATCCCTCGCTGCAAGAGCGTGCGAGAAAGGACCACGATGCTTCAGTACATCGACAAAGAAAACGATGCAGATTCTGCGTTTGGTGTGTTGGAGCCTGAACCCAAACCCACCAAGTCCAGCAGACCCAACAACGTTCGGTGAATCTCCTCGCTCTTGTGGGCCTTCTTTGGGTTTTGGGATTTTCGGGATCTTTGAGATCGGCTTCCGGCTGCCTCTCTGCCGACTTGCATTCGCCAGGCCTTGGTGTCTTCACCTGGGCAAGAGCAAGGTGAAGTCCTGAATTTACCAGGAGCTGCTGCAAGACTGAGGAGCAGCATTCAAAACAAAGAATCCTGGGCTGGGTTGGTAGAGACTGACAGTCTCTTCGCAGGTTGTGAAACTCGTGACTTCAGGGGTCTCACACACCCGGAGCCCTCAAGTCACTTCGGGATGATTCCAAAGGGCGCGAGGTCGCCCGAGAGCCCGACCAAAGCCAACTCTTTGAGGCCCCTACTTGGAGCATCATCCAGAGAACCCAATACCCCTTAATTAAGGAATATTCCTTAAATCACAATATTAGGCCCCCTCTTATTTAAGGTATATTGCTTAATTAAGGGGTATTGGGATCTCTGGGAGCAGGGGACTTAGGAAGTAGGGTTATAGCTAAAGTAACTAGAGATATATCTACTCAGAGGCCTAACCTGGGTACTTATAACCCCACTTACTTAGTCGCTTGAACCTGGGAGCCGCGTTGCCTCGCAGTTTCTTGCTCTCTTCTCACTGGCCACCCCCTAAACCATAAACTCTAAACCCCCAGATACCTCAGATATTCCGAGAGCCCAATGCCTCTCACCCCCTCTTGCGCTATTTCTCAAGGCACAGGAAGGGTCCCTCCATCATTTCAGGAGTTCAGCCTTTACTTAAAACGCTGATATTGGGCTCTCCCTACGCGGTATGTGGCATACAGATTCGGAGACGTCGCAATCGAAAGTCACTGCTTGCCGAGGCCGTCGGCCCCTAGCAAAATCTTGCCAATACCCCGACCGAAAAGTATTTAAACATAGGTAACAGGGCATATTCTTGGGGTATCTATCACTTCAGGGCCGTCTCTTTCTCAGGGTGCACTGGTTAGTCTATCTGACATGCGTTGATCGAATGCAGACATTCAAGGCAACCGAAGTAAGTTATCGAAGCGATATGCAAATATGGTAAAGCCCTAGCCGTAGACACACGCACACGCAAGATGGCCAAAGTACCTACATAGATAGTAGGAATTACTATTATGGCTTTAGTAAGTATCGTCAGGGTTTGGTTTTTGTGCAGGTAGCTTCCCCTGTAGAATGATAATCTGTATTTGTATGTTCATGCCGAGGCATCACTGCACTCTCCGTGAATGCCTTTGCTGCTCTTGGCTTCAGCATTGGCATGTCCTTTCCTCCGAAAGTTGGATGGTGGGCATCTGCAAGCGTGTCCAGGAGCAGGCGCGAGCCCTGCTAAGACCTTGAATGTCATGTTCTCACAACCTAGAACCCTCCAGTGCTTCCCTGCCGCCTGAGCTGGGATGAAGTGCATCTGTCATGTTGTCAGCTGTTTGGCTGTTTGTTGGTCGAGTTTTGTGGTTAGCAGGCAGATGGCGATCGAAGTTTTTGACGGGGGTAGCGCATTTACAGGAGTAGGCTGCGTATGGGATCCTGTAAAATGTGCATAGTGTGGAGTGAAGGTAGAGCGTTCTCACTCGCCTGTCCTCGCTATCGCAGCCTTTCACAACATTGAGAGGTCAAATGTAGGTCAGTGTAGGAGCCCATAGAGACAGGGCATACGATGTCACGGAGGCGCCTGGGAGCTGTTTCTTGGCTCCTCGGCTGTCTCGCGCTTGGCTTGGCAGCTTGTGTGCCACCATGGTTAGTGGAGGGCCGACCGAGACCGAGGGCATTGTGCGGCGAGCATCAGTGCAGTTTAGCGGCATCTCAAGCCGATCGAGGCCTTGATCCCGCGCGGAAGTTTTCGACTCAGTCAGCGCTCACCAGCAACTTCAAGGCCAAGGAGACCGATGTGATGGGTTTCTTGGAAAGGGAGCTGCAGCTTTCAGTAGCAGCAATCCAGGCAATGGAAAACAGGTATCCAAGCATCTGGGGCATCAGCATCGAGAACAAGCTGAAGCCCACATTGGCCTGGCTCGATGATGTTGGGTTGAGCCGGGAACAAGTGGCCAAAGTCGTTGTTGGCTTTCCTTCACTGCTGGGCATGAGCATCGACAGCAATCTGAAACCTACAGCCACCTGGCTGGAACATGTTGGGCTGAGCAGGAAAGAGGTGGCAAAAGTTGTTGCTGGCTTTCCTTCACTGCTGGGCTGCAGCATCGACAACAATCTGAGACCTACAGCGGCCTGGCTGCAGCATGTTGGGCTGAGCAAGAAACAGGTGGCCAAAGTTGTTGCTGGGTTTCCTCAAGTCTTGGGCTACAGCATCCAGGGCAATCTAAAGCCCACAGTGGCGTGGCTCGAGGATGTTGGGCTGAGCCGACAACAAGTGGCCAAAGTCGTTGCTGGCTTTCCGCAGGTGTTGGGCTACAGTCTCCATGCCAACCTGCGTCTCAAAGTGGCCTGGCTCCAGGATCTTGGTTTGAGTCGACAGCAAGTGGCCAATGTCATTGCTCGCCTGCCTCAAGTGCTTGGATACAGCATTCAAGCCAACCTGGAATCCAAAGTGGCCTGGCTGGAAGATGTTGGGCTGAGCCGAGATCAGGTCGCGAAGATCGTTTCCATTTTCCCTCAAGTGCTCAGCCTCAGCATCAAGACCAACCTATCTCCCAAGCATCTCTTACTGCGCGAGCACCTCTCTGATGTGGAAGTCCGCGATCTGATCCTGTACGGCCCTGCCTTGCTGGGCTGCAGCTTTTCTCGGTTGCAGCACCGCCTGCATGTGTTGCATCACCACGATGCCGTGACAAAGCTAGCGAGCGCTATGACAATGACGAGCGACCGCTTTGCCGAGCGATTCCCTTCTTGAGCCGACAGGCTCGGCTTGACTCATCTGGCATCTTTTTCTTGCCATGAGCCCGGGCGGTGCTTGCTTTCTCCATCCGAGATCGCTGCTCTGTTGTGCTTTTATATCATCATGCACATGGAGGCAGTCCAGCTTCCTGCGCTTGGAGCACTACTTTCGGTTTCTGCTTCCCTTGGCCTTGGCTCTCGCTGCATCCAGCGACTCGGCCCTGCTGCCTGCGACTTCGGAGATTCGTTCTGGGAAGCAGCCTGAAAACCACAAGGGCATCCTGTGCATTCTTTGAGAATGTTGCGTCGTGGAGCATGAAGATGGCAGAAGATGGCAGAAGTCTGTGCCTGCTGAACCTCAAGCCTGGGGAGTGGCGTGGCTCGAGGATGTTGGGCTGAGCCGACAACAGGTGGCCAAGGTCGCGGCCGGCAAGCCTCAAGTGTTGGGCTGCAGCATCGACGGCAATCTGAAGCCCACAGTGGCGTGGCTCGAGGATGTTGGGCTGAGCCGACAACAGGTGGCCAAAGTCGTTGCTGGCTTTCCTTCCGTGTTGGGCTACAGCATCGACGGCAATCTGAAACCCACGGTGGTCTGGCTCGAAGATGTTGGGCTGAGCCGACAACAGGTGGCCAAAGTCGTTGCTGGCTTTCCTCAAGTTTTGGGCTGCAGCATCGACGGCAACCTGAAGCCCACCGTGGCGTGGCTCCAGGATGTTGGTCTGAGCCGACAACAGGTGGCCAAAGTCGTTGCCAGCAAGCCTCAAGTCTTGGGCTACAGCATTCACGGCAATCTGAAGCCCACAGTGGCCTGGCTCGAGGATGTCGGGCTGAGCCGACAGCAGGCGGTCAAAGTCGTTGCTGTTGTTCCTCAAGTCTTGGGCTACAGCATCGAGCACAATCTGAAGCCCACAGTGGCCTGGCTCGAGGATGTTGGGCTGAGCCGACAACAGGTGGCCAAAGTCGTTGCTGGCTTTCCTCAAGTTTTGGGCTGCAGCATCGACGGCAATCTGAAGCCCACCGTGGCGTGGCTCCAGGATGTTGGTCTGAGCCGACAACAGGTGGCCAAAGTCGTTGCTGGCTTTCCTGCAGTGTTGAGCAACAGCATCGAGAATAATCTGTCACCAAAACTTATGCTTCTGCGACATTTTTTCTCCAAAGCGGACATTTGCTCCATGATTGTGTACCTTCCGCAGATGCTCAGCCTCAGCTATGCTCGTCTGTTCCATCGAGTTCAAGTGCTGCAGGACTATGACTGCTTGTACAAGCTAGCGAGGGTGATGGCCTTGACTGATGTGAAGTTTGCCCGGCGATTCCCAAGAGGCATTGCGGCAATGTCTGTGGGCCTTGCGCAAGTGAAAAGAGGCGCATCTCCCGGCAGGTTCCCTGAACTAGACGTCTGAGAGCGGCGAGTTGCGGATGATCTCGCCTTCACACAGCCCACTGATTTTATTGCTGGGGCTTTCTTCTTGGCAATGTCGGGAGATGGGATCCCTGCCAAAGAGCCTCCAAGGAATACCTGCCCTCAGAGCGTTAGTAGGTTGTTGGAATTGGTCCCAAACAAACATCTGAAAGATTTGCATCCCAAAGCAGCTCTGGTCAAGAAGCGAAGTTTTGGGCTTGTGTTTTGTTGCTTTTGTAGTGCCATTCTTGAGAGGCCACGGGCCACGCACCACTGCCTGCCCGAGGGAGGTGGGGAGTCCTGAGGGCGCATGGCCTCGTCGAAGGAAAACCAGAGCTCACGGGAACTGCGGTGGCTCCTATAAGAAGGGAGGTGTGGGGCCTTAGTCCGCTTGATAAGAGGCCGGTTCATCCGGATAGGCCGTTGTGAGATGTTTTGAAGAAGGCCTTCCGCTGGAGCAGACCCGTCCGAAGATGTCCAAAGCTTCTTTCTACGTCTCGTGTAGTGTGTTGCTTCGAAAATCTTGGATTGGGGCCTCTGTCGTTCTCAAGATAGTGGGAGATGGCAGGACCACAAGCTTGCCATCGAACAAGGCTGTCTCCTGCTGGGCCTGGTCATCCACGAGTTCGATAGTCTTTCTGCATCATTCCCCATCGTCGCTCTTGCATGCCTGTGTGTGAGGATCTTGCTCAGCGCTAGCAAAGAGCATCAGTCATGGAAGACGAAGTCATGTCTTCTTTGATGGTAGACGTGGAGCAGACAGGTTTTCATTGGCCAAGCCTGGTGGAAAGGCAAGTGCCCGTTTTCCAGTCACACCCGTCCGAAATCGCTAAGCCCTTCCTTTCGTGCACCGGTCGGATAATGCTTCAACCCAAGCCAACCCCACACAACCTGTGAGATGGTGCACCTCTGCTTCTGGTGCTCGGAGGTGGTTGGTGCTACGTCGCTTGAAATTCTATTTGTTGGCTCCGCTGCTCCTGAGGCTCAACCCTCCGCTCCGCTTCCCACAGTTGGGCACAAGCCAGCAGTCGGAGTCGCAGAGCGGCTTCCTGGATTTTGGATGCTGAAAGTTAATCGCCCGAGGATTCAGGAATCACTGCGGCGGCGTTCTGTAAAGCCTCCGTGTTGCTTTCGAAAGCTCTCGCGGCAACTGACCTATTATCCTAGCCTCACGAAAGCCCGAGTCTCTTGAACCAAAACCGGGCGGCGATGCGGCCCATGGCGGCAGCACCCAGGGCAGAGAGAGCAGCGGCTGCCCGCCGCAGGCCAGAGTCAAGCGAGAAAGAATCGAAAGTCTGTGGTGACGTGTTGTTGAAAACTTAGAAATACATAACAAATTCGGGATGTTTGCTCGGGTTTGGGATTCCGGCCGGCGCTGGCCAAGTTGCAGGTCGCAGTTTGAATTTCGCGATGGGTGTAGTAAGGTGGCCTGAGGGGCAGACCGGTTCGTGGTGTACCACGGGAGCCCAACACTGTTTTCCCCAGGAATACTCCTTCAAGCTTCGAACATAGCGACTATCCTGATCTCTGACAAGGGGGCATGTCCACTGGTATGCAATCCTAAGATCCTAGTATTTTATGTCGGCGTATTGGGCATACAGTCCCCTGCGGACATCTCGCTCCCGAGATCCCAACACCAAGAGGCCGAGGCTAGGTTTGAAGCTCTGGGCTCTTGCGCAGGGAAGACTTTGGGTTTTGGGTTTTGGGGTGCGTGTGCTGTGAGCGATAGCTGAACTTCAGGAGTTCGTGGAAACTACTCACGAGACTAAAGCCGACGGGCTCCCAACCCAGTCTCCACACACGGAGGCTCAGAGGTCCCGTATGTCGTTTGTCTCGAAAGACCTGCAGTTGATGCCAGAACTCTTGGATGACGATGTGGTTCTCTTCGACCTTTAAGCCAGAGGGGATTAATGTCAGCATAATCCATTCGGGTTGCTTTGTGTGTGATGCCAATATGATCTACTCAGTTGGCCTCGGAGTGGGGGTGGCGCTTTACCCCCGCAGGGCCGATTTGCTTTTAGTTGCGTCTGCGCCTTTGCCTTGGCCAAGCAGCTGCTCAGAATGTTGAGAGCGAGCCGAAGGGAGTAGCGAGGGTGGAGATGCTTCGCGGAAAGAGGAGGCCTAGGATCTCATGGAGGTGTTTGGGAGCCACTTCGTGGCTCCTCGCCTGGTGTGCACTTGGCTTAGCGGCGTGTGGTCCACCCTGGTGGAGGCAGGGCCGGCCGAGGACGGTGCACCGAAGCTTTGCGGAGGTGGAGCTTCTGTCTCGTGTGGCGGAGCTGTTGATGCCAGGGGAGCCCATCGGAGAGCTCTTTCGAGACTTCCCAGTGGAGCCCTCCGACGCGTGGGGCGTGCGCTGGCTGTGCCCCGACGTGACTTTGTTTGGGGTGTTGAAGGACGAGGATGCAGCTTTGTTCATCGAGTACGACGGGTATCATGGACATTATGATGCACGAGGGCAGAAAGGGGACGAGCGCAAGACGAACGCTTTGCTTGACTATGCACCCCCGGGCTCTTGCGTTCTTCGGATAGGCCATGCAGCTCGTAGCTTGACAGAGAGGACGAATTCGAAGCAAGTAGTCGTAGACACATGGTCTGCAGGCCAAGGGTGGAGATTGATGCATGTTGTGCGACAAGTTGCGCGAGCCCTGCTTGACAATTGGGGAAACGTACTTCGAGAGGATGTGTGCGAGCATCTCGACAAAATTGTGGAAACCGAACCTTCGCCAGATCAGCATCATGCCAGCAAGTTTGCGAGTGAGGCTCCGCTCACCAGCGACATCGAGACCAAGAAGACCGGAGTGAGTGCCTTCTTGGAGAAGGAGCTGAAGTTCTCGAAGAAAGGAACCCAGGCTTTGGCAAGCAAGTTTCCAAGAATTTGGGGCATCAGCATTGAGCGCAAGCTGAAACCTCTTGTTGGGTGGTTCGAGGATGTTGGGCTGAGCCGACAACAGGTGGCCAAAATCGTTGCTGGCTTTCCTTCCGTGTTGGGCTACAGCATCGACGGCAATTTGAAGCCCACGGTGGCGTGGCTCGAAGATGGTGGTCTGAGCCGACAACAGGTGGCCAAGGTCGTGGCCGGCAAGCCTCAAGTGTTGGGCTGCAGCATCGACGGCAATCTGAAGCCCACCGTGGCGTGGCTCCAGGATGTTGGTCTGAGCCGACAACAGGTGGCCAAAGTCGTTGCTGGCTTTCCTGCAGTGTTGAGCAACAGCATCGAGAATAATCTGTCACCAAAACTTATGCTTCTGCGACATTTTTTCTCCAAAGCGGACATTTGCTCCATGATTGTGTACCTTCCGCAGATGCTCAGCCTCAGCTATGCTCGTCTGTTCCATCGAGTTCAAGTGCTGCAGGACTATGACTGCTTGTACAAGCTAGCGAGGGTGATGGCCTTGACTGATGTGAAGTTTGCCCGGCGATTCCCAAGAGGCATTGCGGCAATGTCTGTGGGCCTTGCGCAAGTGAAAAGAGGCGCATCTCCCGGCAGGTTCCCTGAACTAGACGTCTGAGAGCGGCGAGTTGCGGATGATCTCGCCTTCACACAGCCCACTGATTTTATTGCTGGGGCTTTCTTCTTGGCAATGTCGGGAGATGGGATCCCTGCCAAAGAGCCTCCAAGGAATACCTGCCCTCAGAGCGTTAGTAGGTTGTTGGAATTGGTCCCAAACAAACATCTGAAAGATTTGCATCCCAAAGCAGCTCTGGTCAAGAAGCGAAGTTTTGGGCTTGTGTTTTGTTGCTTTTGTAGTGCCATTCTTGAGAGGCCACGGGCCACGCACCACTGCCTGCCCGAGGGAGGTGGGGAGTCCTGAGGGCGCATGGCCTCGTCGAAGGAAAACCAGAGCTCACGGGAACTGCGGTGGCTCCTATAAGAAGGGAGGTGTGGGGCCTTAGTCCGCTTGATAAGAGGCCGGTTCATCCGGATAGGCCGTTGTGAGATGTTTTGAAGAAGGCCTTCCGCTGGAGCAGACCCGTCCGAAGATGTCCAAAGCTTCTTTCTACGTCTCGTGTAGTGTGTTGCTTCGAAAATCTTGGATTGGGGCCTCTGTCGTTCTCAAGATAGTGGGAGATGGCAGGACCACAAGCTTGCCATCGAACAAGGCTGTCTCCTGCTGGGCCTGGTCATCCACGAGTTCGATAGTCTTTCTGCATCATTCCCCATCGTCGCTCTTGCATGCCTGTGTGTGAGGATCTTGCTCAGCGCTAGCAAAGAGCATCAGTCATGGAAGACGAAGTCATGTCTTCTTTGATGGTAGACGTGGAGCAGACAGGTTTTCATTGGCCAAGCCTGGTGGAAAGGCAAGTGCCCGTTTTCCAGTCACACCCGTCCGAAATCGCTAAGCCCTTCCTTTCGTGCACCGGTCGGATAATGCTTCAACCCAAGCCAACCCCACACAACCTGTGAGATGGTGCACCTCTGCTTCTGGTGCTCGGAGGTGGTTGGTGCTACGTCGCTTGAAATTCTATTTGTTGGCTCCGCTGCTCCTGAGGCTCAACCCTCCGCTCCGCTTCCCACAGTTGGGCACAAGCCAGCAGTCGGAGTCGCAGAGCGGCTTCCTGGATTTTGGATGCTGAAAGTTAATCGCCCGAGGATTCAGGAATCACTGCGGCGGCGTTCTGTAAAGCCTCCGTGTTGCTTTCGAAAGCTCTCGCGGCAACTGACCTATTATCCTAGCCTCACGAAAGCCCGAGTCTCTTGAACCAAAACCGGGCGGCGATGCGGCCCATGGCGGCAGCACCCAGGGCAGAGAGAGCAGCGGCTGCCCGCCGCAGGCCAGAGTCAAGCGAGAAAGAATCGAAAGTCTGTGGTGACGTGTTGTTGAAAACTTAGAAATACATAACAAATTCGGGATGTTTGCTCGGGTTTGGGATTCCGGCCGGCGCTGGCCAAGTTGCAGGTCGCAGTTTGAATTTCGCGATGGGTGTAGTAAGGTGGCCTGAGGGGCAGACCGGTTCGTGGTGTACCACGGGAGCCCAACACTGTTTTCCCCAGGAATACTCCTTCAAGCTTCGAACATAGCGACTATCCTGATCTCTGACAAGGGGGCATGTCCACTGGTATGCAATCCTAAGATCCTAGTATTTTATGTCGGCGTATTGGGCATACAGTCCCCTGCGGACATCTCGCTCCCGAGATCCCAACACCAAGAGGCCGAGGCTAGGTTTGAAGCTCTGGGCTCTTGCGCAGGGAAGACTTTGGGTTTTGGGTTTTGGGGTGCGTGTGCTGTGAGCGATAGCTGAACTTCAGGAGTTCGTGGAAACTACTCACGAGACTAAAGCCGACGGGCTCCCAACCCAGTCTCCACACACGGAGGCTCAGAGGTCCCGTATGTCGTTTGTCTCGAAAGACCTGCAGTTGATGCCAGAACTCTTGGATGACGATGTGGTTCTCTTCGACCTTTAAGCCAGAGGGGATTAATGTCAGCATAATCCATTCGGGTTGCTTTGTGTGTGATGCCAATATGATCTACTCAGTTGGCCTCGGAGTGGGGGTGGCGCTTTACCCCCGCAGGGCCGATTTGCTTTTAGTTGCGTCTGCGCCTTTGCCTTGGCCAAGCAGCTGCTCAGAATGTTGAGAGCGAGCCGAAGGGAGTAGCGAGGGTGGAGATGCTTCGCGGAAAGAGGAGGCCTAGGATCTCATGGAGGTGTTTGGGAGCCACTTCGTGGCTCCTCGCCTGGTGTGCACTTGGCTTAGCGGCGTGTGGTCCACCCTGGTGGAGGCAGGGCCGGCCGAGGACGGTGCACCGAAGCTTTGCGGAGGTGGAGCTTCTGTCTCGTGTGGCGGAGCTGTTGATGCCAGGGGAGCCCATCGGAGAGCTCTTTCGAGACTTCCCAGTGGAGCCCTCCGACGCGTGGGGCGTGCGCTGGCTGTGCCCCGACGTGACTTTGTTTGGGGTGTTGAAGGACGAGGATGCAGCTTTGTTCATCGAGTACGACGGGTATCATGGACATTATGATGCACGAGGGCAGAAAGGGGACGAGCGCAAGACGAACGCTTTGCTTGACTATGCACCCCCGGGCTCTTGCGTTCTTCGGATAGGCCATGCAGCTCGTAGCTTGACAGAGAGGACGAATTCGAAGCAAGTAGTCGTAGACACATGGTCTGCAGGCCAAGGGTGGAGATTGATGCATGTTGTGCGACAAGTTGCGCGAGCCCTGCTTGACAATTGGGGAAACGTACTTCGAGAGGATGTGTGCGAGCATCTCGACAAAATTGTGGAAACCGAACCTTCGCCAGATCAGCATCATGCCAGCAAGTTTGCGAGTGAGGCTCCGCTCACCAGCGACATCGAGACCAAGAAGACCGGAGTGAGTGCCTTCTTGGAGAAGGAGCTGAAGTTCTCGAAGAAAGGAACCCAGGCTTTGGCAAGCAAGTTTCCAAGAATTTGGGGCATCAGCATTGAGCGCAAGCTGAAACCTCTTGTTGGGTGGTTCGAGGATGTTGGGCTGAGCCGACAACAGGTGGCCAAAATCGTTGCTGGCTTTCCTTCCGTGTTGGGCTACAGCATCGACGGCAATTTGAAGCCCACGGTGGCGTGGCTCGAAGATGGTGGTCTGAGCCGACAACAGGTGGCCAAGGTCGTGGCCGGCAAGCCTCAAGTGTTGGGCTGCAGCATCGACGGCAATCTGAAGCCCACAGTGGCGTGGCTCGAGGATGTTGGGCTGAGCCGACAACAGGTGGCCAAAGTCGTTGCTGGCTTTCCTTCCGTGTTGGGCTACAGCATCGACGGCAATCTGAAACCCACAGTGGCGTGGCTCGAGGATGTTGGGCTGAGCCGACAACAGGTGGCCAAAGTCGTTGCTGGCTTTCCTTCCGTGTTGGGCTGCAGCATCGACGGCAATCTGAAGCCCACGGTGGTCTGGCTCGAAGATGTTGGGCTGAGCCGACAACAGGTGGCCAAAGTCGTTGCTGGTCACCCTCAAGTCTTTGGCTACAGCATTGCCAACAACCTCTCGAAGAAGCTTTTCCTTCTGCAGCAGCGTTTCTCAAAAGAAGACGTTTGCTCCATGATTGCGTACTTTCCGCCTCTGCTCGGCTTTAGCTACGCTCGCCTGTGCCATCGCCTGAACGTTCTGCATGAGTATGACTGCCTTAACAAGCTTGCGAGAGTTATGGCGCTGACTGAACCGAAGTTTGCCCGGCGGTTCCCACCTTTGCACCGCAGCAAGCGAAATTCGTCCAGGAGAGGTGCACCTGTTAGCAGGCCGTCTTGACCCAAAGGCCCGGGCCAAGAGAGCGTGTGTTGCTGATAATCACATCCTGACTCAGACTGCTTTGCTTGTGTGCCTACTTCAGTCTCAGAAAACCAAAACATTGCGTGCCAAGTACAGGACCCCAGCGGAACATTTCGTGCAGGTTGTCTTGCCCATGTGTTCGTCGACATCCGGAGTCAGAATTTTCCTGATCCCCAAACCCTCAGATGGTGGGCTGGATTGCTGGCTGTTGGAGCGTAGGCATCCCGTGTGAATCAAAAACACGTAGTCCGGCATCCAACCCCATCAAAAATCTGCATCCGGAAGAAGGTTTTTTAATGTTCCGTGTTCAGCGTTGGAAGGTTGTGGGTCTCTGCCTTTGTAGAGCCACTCCTGCCAGGTTGCGGCACCACCGCCTGCGCAAGAGCAACGCGAAGTCATCAGGACTCGTCGCAAAACCAGAAAGTGTGCAAGCTGCAAGGGTTCCTCTAAGCAGGCAGGTGTGGAGCCTTTTGTCCAAGAGTTTTTGCAACAAGAGCTTATCCGGGTTTGAGTTGTTCAGCTGTTCTAAATAAGGGTTTTTCGGTGGAAGCAAACCTCGGCCCCAGCGTCCGGGGCTTCTTCTTGTGTTTCGTGTACGGCTCCGCAAATCTTGGGTGGGTGATGGCCTGTGGTCGCCTTCAAGAGTCTTGGGAATGCTGGGACCCGAAGCCTGCAGCGATTGTATCGGGCTTTCTCGTGCTGGGCCTTGCCTGCCTTGGTTTGGATGTTGTTGTTGGGCGGGTTGTGGATAGCATGAGTCAGACGAAGTCATGTTTGCTCTGATGCTAGACGTGGAGTAGACGGCTTTCGTCAGCCACATCTTCTGATCGCTAGTCAAAGCCACCGCAAGCTCTTATCTCCTCCTTGCATGCACCGGCCAGATTGTTGAACACTGGAATAGGATGACATGCTTCAACCCAAGCCGACCCCACACCAGCTACGAAATGGTACACTTCTGTGCTCAGAGGCGGCTAGCAGCACGCATGGGTTGTATTTGAAGAGCATGAGTCTTGCAAGAGCAGTTCATCACGCCTGCATGCGACGGGCAGACTCCTGATCTGTTTGCTTGCTCCGCTGCTCCTGGGCTCCAGCCTCCGCTTCGCTTCCCAAAGTTGGATGCCGCGCTTTAGGAGCATGAAGTAGGAGCCACAGAGCGGCTTCCGGAATGTCAGCAGTCAAGCCCCCAACTTCGAGAATCAGTGATGTACTGTTTTCTGCCGTGCCCTCGCTGCACCTGATCCGCTTCCCCAAGCCTTCACATGCCTCCATGCAACCGCAAGTCTCCTAAACCCAAACCCGAGCTCGAACTAGCAAGCATCCGGAACGTGTAAATCCCTAAGCCTCGGCACACCCTAAACTCCTAAACTGTCTTAACACTTCGTTTCTTTCTCCTTGACGCCGGCCTGCAGCTGGCGGGCCATTGCCCTGCCCTGGGTGCTGCCGCAATGGCCACGGTGCCGCCCGGCCCGGGCCCAAATTGAAGGGTCGCAGTTTGTGCCTTTTTGGGTGGGCCTTGCGCAGTCTTGCATATGTAGATGCTTGTCACGGAGCTTGGATAGGGGTGCCTCAGCCTGAAGAATTGTTGTCCGCATCGTACAGGTATTGCAATACTACCCAGAGAGCCTGGTACGATTCAAAAAGGAAGACTTCTTCACATGTATGACTGTAAGTGTTTTCTCGCATGTGAAAGTGTGTATGTCATGTCATTTCATCAAGGCCATACTCCCGAATTACAGGGTATTGGGTTTTGACAGTCCTTCCAAGCCTCCTGCCGAAATTACACTGTTCCTGGCAGGCCAAAGACAGAGGACCCTGAAAGATCTCCATGCGGCCCTCTTTGCCTTGAAGCGGGCGGCAAGCTGGGAGGTGGCTCTGCGGCGGTCTGGAGAGTGGGAGACATCGGTGGTGTTAGAACTTTTCAAGGACTCCTTTGAGTTGTTTCGGGTCGGGCCCTGGAGTTGAGTGCATCTACGACAAGAATATGAAAACTGTCGTCTCTTAATGATGGCACTGTATATGATACTGATGCTGGTAGCAAAGATGAAGGGCATCCCACCCACCTCCGCGCCGCAGCTGAGGAAGCCGTGGCTTTAGTGCTCAGGTCGCCGCAGGCGCCAAAGCTTGGTGGCCTGGCGAAGCAGATCACAGAATAGGAAGGTTTCAGTGATCTTTGAGGTTGTTGGGATGCGTGCCCTTTGAAGACCTGGAGCCAGTGTTGGAACGAGGCCTTGTGGCCTTCACTGCCGCCTTGGGCGCCTGCACTGCTGGTGCCAAGTGGGAGGCATCGTTAGCAACAAGTGAAATTAAGTTTTGTTGACTGGAGTCTAGCTTTTTTGGCAGCGTGATTGTAGTAGTTACTGTGACAGGAGGCTGCAGGGTTCCTCTTGGGCTTCTAGGTTCCTGCTTGCTTCTTTCAGACCTCATCGTGCCACCGTGCTGCCCCATCAGCGTCAAAAGAAGCGGTGAAGGATGATGCGACTCTGAACTGTTGTAGATGAGTCGGAATTCATGGCAGCGATTCGGAGCCGCCTGCCGACCGGGCTGCGGTTTCGTGTCGGGCCTCGCCTTCTGTGCAGTACGCCTCCGCTTTGGTGGAGGAAGGGCCGACCGCGGACGGTGCACCGCAGCTATGCCGAGGTGGAGCTGTTGTCCCGGCTGGCGGAGCTGTTGATGCCAGGGGAGCCGATTGGGGAGCTCTTCCGCGACTTCCCGGTAAAGAAATCGGAGCTATGGGGAAGGCCTTGGCTTTGCCCGGACATCTCTGCATTTGGTGTGTTGAAGGAGGAGGGTGCAGCTTTGTTTGTCGAGTACGATGGGTACTTTCGCCATTCTGAGCCCCAGGGGCAGCAGAGGGACGAGCGCAAGACGGAAGCTCTGCTTGCGTATGCGCCTGCGGGTTCCCGCGTCTTGCGCATAGGTCATGTAGGTAGAGGCCTGAGAGCTACAGATGCTTCGATAGAGGCAACTGTTGATGCGTGGCGTGCAGGACGCTCGTCCTCACTGAATCATGCTTTGCGTCAAGCCACACAGACCCTCTTTACTAACCTCGGAGGTGCCCTTGACCATGAACTGCGGGAACGTCTCCACGCTCTTCAGGGCGCACAAGCACAACAACGTTTTGACAAGGCGCGCAAGTTTGTGCGTCAGGCGTTGCTCACCAGAGGTGTCCAGACGAAGAAGGCCCACATGCTTGCCGCTTTAGAAGGGGAGCTGCAGCTTTCAGCAGACGCAATCGAGGCGTTGGAAAACAGGTTTCCAAGTGTTCGGGGTACCAGCATCGAGTCCAGATTGAAAGTCGTTGCTGGCCATCCTCAAGTGTCAGGACTGAGCATTGAGGCCAATCTGAAGCCCACACTGTCCTGGCTTGGGGATGTTGGGCTGAGTCGAGAGCAGGTGGCCAAAGTCGTTGCTGGCTTTCCTTCCGTGTTGGGCTACAGCATCGAAGTCAATCTGAAGCCCACGGTGACCTGGTTCGAGAATGTTGGGTTGAGCAGACAACAGGTGGCCAAAGTCGTTGCTGGCTTTCCTCAAGTGTTGGGCTGTAGCATCGACGGCAACCTGAAGCCCACAGTGGCATGGCTCGAGGATGTTGGGCTGAGCCGACAGCAGGTTGCCAAAGTCGTTGCTGGTCACCCTCAAGTCTTGGGCTGCAGAATCGAGGGCAATCTGAAGCCCACAGTGGCCTGGCTCGAGGACGTTGGGCTTAGCCGACAGCAGGTTGCCAAAGTCGTTGCTGGCTTTCCTCAAGTGCTGGGCTGCAGCATCGACGGCAATCTGAAGCCCACAGTGGCGTGGCTTGAGGATGTTGGGCTGAGCCAACAACAAGTGACCAAAGCCGTTGCTGGATTTCCCCAAGTGTTGGGCTACAGCATCAACGGCAATCTGAAACCGACAGCAGTCTGGCTCGAGGATGTTGGGCTGAGCAGACAGCAGGTGGCGAAAGTCGTTGCTGGCTTTCCTCAAGTGTTGGGCTGCAGCATCGACGGCAATCTGAAGCCCACAGTGGCGTGGCTCGAGGATGTTGGGCTGAGCCGACAACAGGTGGCCAAAGTCGTTGCTGGCTTTCCTTCCGTGTTGGGCTGCAGCATCGACGGCAATCTGAAGCCCACGGTGGTCTGGCTCGAAGATGTTGGGCTGAGCCGACAACAGGTGGCAAAAGTCGTTGCTGGTCACCCTCAAGTCTTGGGCTACAGCATTGCCAACAACCTGTCGAAGAAGCTTTTCCTTCTGCAGCAGCGTTTCTCAAAAGAGGACGTTTGCTCCATGATTGCGTACCTTCCGCCTCTGCTTGGCTTTAGCTACGCTCGCCTGTGTCATCGCCTGAACGTTCTGCATGAGCATGACTGCCTTAACAAGCTTGCGAGAGTGATGGCGCTGACTGAACCGAAGTTTGCCCGGCGGTTCCCACCTTTGCATCGCCGCAAGCGAACTTCGTCCAGGAGAGGTGGACCTGTTAGCCCACCGTCTTGACCCAAAGGCCCAGGCCAAGAGTGCGTGCGGCTGGTAACCACATCCTGACTCAGATTGCTTTGCTTGTGTGCCTACGTACTTCAGTCTCAGAACACCCAAACTCTGCGTGCCAAGTACGGAACTGACAGGACCCCAGCGGAACATTTCGTGCAGGTTGTCTGGTCCATATGTTCGTCGACATGCGAAGTCAGAATTTTCGTGATCCCCAAACCCTCAGAGGGTGGGTTGGATTGCTGGCTGTCGGAGCGTAGGGCAAATTTCGACGTTTGGTTGCGTGGCCCGAGAATGTTGGGCTGAGCCGCAAACAGGTGGCCAAAGCCGTTGCTGGATTTCCGAGAGCCTTGGGCTACAGCATCGACGCTAATCTGAAGCCCACAGTGGCCTGGCTCGAGGATGTGGGACTCAGCTGAGAGCCGGTTGCCAAAAGCGTTGCCACTTTTCCTGCAGTCCTTGGCTACAGCATCATGGCCAATTTATCACCTAAGCATCGACTGTTGCAGGGCTTTTGCAACAGCGATATTTGCCGCATGCTTGTGTACCTTCCTGCTGTGCTGGGCTACAGCTTCAAGCGCCTTCATCATCGATTGCACGTGCTGCAGAAGAGCAGCCAGATGGAAAAACTAGCTGCCACCATGACTCTGACCGAGAAGCGTTTTGCGCAGCGATTCGGTGTTTAGCCGGCTTGAGCCGGTTGCGGCAAACGGAGACCAAGAAATTGAGTGTCGATGCAACCCAGAGCAGGGGAATTTCACAAAACGTGAGGTTCCCCGGTCGGTTTCTCCTGGTCCCTGGAAACCTCGATGTGGGGTTGGTTCTCGCTTAGTTCCCGTCAGGTGTCACTTATCGGACCGTGCTTTAAACCCGGAAGAGGTGTGAGGAGGGCAGGTGTGGACAAGTGGCGGAGCCCGATATACCGACTGCATTTGCATTGCCGGGGGAGGGACAAGCAATGGGGCGAGGCATGATCAAGGATAGCAAGGGGTGCAGCACCGCATGCGTGGGCTGAGTGTGGGCTGCGCGTAGTCGAGACTGAGCGCGGTGCATAGTTGCGTCATTGTCTCTCGGTTGGATTTTATGGTTCCCGGCTAGACAGTGTTGTTGGCTGTTCCATTATGCCGCTGCGGCTCCGCTGAGGCCCAACTGCAAAGAAGAAGATATATACAGTCACGTCAATTGAGCTCAATTTGTGGGTGCAAGGGGAGCTTTATCACGGTACTTAGGTGGCCTCTCCGGGCTGCCCTAAACCCTACACCCTAAACCCTACATGCAGATGAAGCAGCCACTCATCCAGAGAAAGCTGCCGGACAGTACAGGCAAAGTCAATCCGGGTGCCCCTTCTATCTTAGAGTTACCAGGACAAGGCTGAAAGCAGAATCCTGCGCAACGAAACTGTTGTGTGGATTTCGGGAAGTGTCCTTAACCGTGAGGCTGCGCTTGCGATGCTGCCGGCAATGCTGCACCCCGGCTGAAACTGTTACTGAAGCAGATATGCTTGTCGAGGCATTCGACACTGCAACATGGACATGGACTGAAGCAGATGTGCTGAAGCAGGAACTTTGTGTCAGCCCTTGTTCCGGTACTTCAGCTCCTTTGCCTCGCCTCATCCCCCAACCCGAGCTCCAGTGTTTGCAGTTTCAAGGAGCCGCTGCCTCCGCCCGGATGCCGTCGCACAGAGCTTTGGCAAGGAATGCTTCAGGGTTTTTCGGTGGAGAAAGAACTTCCCAGAAGGGTCTCGACTCTCAAGGCGAGTTTCATAGCATCGCAGCTGCCTGAAGTATAGTGAGTGGTCCGCGAAAACTCGCGTCATCACCACGAGTTTGCAGTGCCGCGAGTGGAACTGACAGACTTCCTTGTGAGCGAGCGCGTTCAACAAACAAACCTTGACCTGACCAGGAATGCCGTGCTGGCGGCTTTGGGCGTGGCACTGCACCTTGGCAGCAAGGTGAACCTACCTGCGGTAACCATCAAGCGTAGACTCGGCCCGACCTGTTCTTCCCCTACGGATGGAGCTACAGAATGAGGGCCTAGAACACACAGAGCCCTAAGATCCTGGATTCCGAGTCCCAGATCCTGAACCTGCGATCCCACGCCTTCACGGCTCAAAGCACATCCCCGAAACCCGAAGGACACATCCCAAAGCCTTAACTTTGGACCCTCAGCCTGACACCCGAAACCTTCAGCCAGAAACACCAGAAAACTTGCAAACGCTTCTCCGAGGCATTGGCAACAGACCCTCTCCCTGCTTCCGAGACTCCGCGAGGGCACCCGGGCGGGGCGGAGGGCTGAAGTGTGCCTAAATAAACTTTCACAGCGGTTCAGAGCCTCTGAGCGTTGCTGCCCTGGTTAGGGACAGCGGATCCGTGTGTATTCTTGTCGGACCCTTTATGAGCGGCTTCGAGCTGAGGGTTTAGGGCTGGCTTAGGCTTGCTCTTGCGTGTTCCGTGCGTCAGGTCACTACAGTCGGCACCTCTCCCTTGTACAAAAGTCGAACCCCTGAAGCGGTTGCACCCATTGCCCACGTTAAAATCCCTACACCTCGCTCTTTCCTGCAGGTTCGGCCGCCGCAGGCGCTCATTGCCTGCAACACGGCCATGGTGCCTTGGCGGAAATCCTTTACAAGGAGTTCTGAGTCATTTCAACACACGATAGCATTGTGATGCCTCCAGGAAGGCCTGTCATCAAACGGGGTTCCCGACCGTGGACAGGCTCCGGAACGGTGGTGTTCTGGCTTTCGACTTCAGGTGGCTTGCTCAGAGTCGAAGAACTGGATCTAGAAGGTCGGGTCTGTACAGCCTTCCTCCCAATCGCAGCTGCTGAAACCTCTCTGAGCTGCCCCCCCCCTAAGGCTTAGGCTCAGAAGCCCTGAGCCCAACTCAATCCCTGTGGCGTGATCCGCACCTCTCCCCCAGGCTCCCAGGCTCTGCACCTGAGATCTTGAGTCGCAAACCTCGAGCCTAAATCCGCACTCTTGTACTTACATGTTCCAGACTTAAATCCAGAGCTTGACAATTGCAAGCTTTAGCAAACCCAAGACTCACCGAATCACTCCCCAACGGGAACAACATATGCCACCTGAGGCCACCCTCGAGCGCGCTTCGAGGTGGGCCGGCGCCCTCGCGCTCTTCGACGCGCTGCCACGTCAGCCGCTGCGCAGTGCATCAGAGGGCTGTGGCCAAAGTGTTGAAATGAGTTGACGGGCCTCCAAAGTAACGGCTACAAGCCCCATAGCCCAAAGTCCGCACCCTAAGCTCCGAAGCTCAAACAAATATGGGGACCGTTGAAACACGACCTCGAAGACAAGGTCCCTGAAGCCCAGCGGCGCTTCTTTTACCACCGCCCTGCTGGCTTTGCGCTCCGGTGCCCTCTGGCAGGTGCCCAGCCGGCGACATTTTTTGAGCCTTCTGAGTGTTGAACGGTTGTTTTGGGGGGTTTTTGCACCTTGGGGTACAAAGTTCGGATCGAACACGTTCTTTTTGAGAAGCCCTGGCAGTTTCAAACAAGCAACCTGTTTTTGAGCCATTTTTTTTTTTGAATCGCCGGCCCGGGTTTACACCAAGGCCGGCTCAGAATGTGTGGGAGGTTTGTTCAATGTTTGAAGCGGGTTTTGCAGAAAAAGACTCACGGCAGACGCAGCTCAAAGGCTCCGTTTTCCGAGGTTCAAACTCTGCGGCGAGTACAGTTGTCATCGGTGTAAACCTGGGCCCACAGAGGCCACGCATCATCAGCAGCAGCCGGCCTCTGTGTAAACCTGGGCCCACAGAGGCCGCGCATCATCAGCATCAGCCGGCCTCTGTGTAAACCTGGGCCTACAGAGGCCGCGCATCATCAGCATCAGCCGGCCTCTGTGTAAAGCTGGGCCCACAGAGGCCGCGCATCATCAGCATCAGACGGCCTCTGTGTAAACCTGGGCTTTGTGTAAACCTGGTTCACAAAGGCCGCGCATCATCAGCATCAGCCGGCGTCTGTGTAAACCTGGGCCCAAAGAGGCCGCGCATCATCAGCATCAGCCAGCCTCTGTGTAACCCTGGCCCGCAGAGGCCGCGCATCATCAGCATCAGCCGGTCTTCGTGTCAACCTGGTTCACAAAGGCCGCGCATCATCAGCATCAGCCGGCCTCTGTGTAAACCTGGGCCCGCAGAGGCCGCGCATCATCAGCATCAGCCGGCCTCTGTGTAACCCTGGCCCACAGAGGCCGCGCATCATCAGCAGCGGCCTCAGTGTAATCCTGGGTCCACAAAGGCCGCGCATCACCACATCAGCCACCTTTGTGTAAACCTGGTTCAGAAAGGCCGCGCATCATCAGCATCAGCCCGCCTCTGTGTAAACCTGGGCCCGCAGAGGCCGCGCATCATCAGCATCAGCCGGCCTCTGTGTAACCCTGGCCCACAAAGGCCGCGCATCATGAGCATCAGCCGGCCTCTGTGTAAACCTGGGCCCACAAAGGCCGCGCATCATCAGCATCAGCCGACCTCTGTGTAAACCTGGGCCCACAGAGGCCGCGCATGATCAGCATCAGACGGCCTCTGTGTAAACCTGGGCTTTGTGTAAACCTGGTTCACAAAGGCCGCGCATCATCAGCATCAGCCGGCCTCTGTGTGTCCCTGGGCCCACAGAGGCCGCGCATCATCAGCATCAGCCGGCCTCTGTGTAAACTTGGACCCGCAGAGGCCGCGCATCATCAGCATCAGCCAGCCGTTGTGTAAAAATGGGCCCAAAGAGGACGCGCATCATCAGCACCAGCCGGCCTTTGTGTAAACCGGGTTCGCCAAGGCCGCGCATCATCAGCATCAGCCGGCCTCTGTGTAAAGCTGGGCCCACAGAGGCCGCGCATCATCAGCATCACCAGGCCTCTGTTCGTGTAAACCTGAGCCCATAGAGGCCACGCATCATCAGCATCACCCGGCCTCTGTTCGTGTAAACCTGAGCCCACAGAGGCCGCGCATCATCAGCATCAGCCGGCCTCTGTGTAAACCTGGGCCCACAGAGGCCGCGCATCATCA